GGCATTGGATTTGAGTGAGGGGGAGGGGACTGGGAATGCTTGGCACTGGGGGAGGGAAGGGAAATTGGGTTAGAGCAGGGGGTTGGTGGTGCCTGGCTCTGGGGCTAAGCCCCTTAAACTCAGAGTCTTCATGGATGCAGAATAAGGCAGCCAACACAGGTGTCATATTTAAATTTCAGGGCAAAAAAGTAATCAGCATGTACCTGGTTTACACTGTTTCTCTTTAAAGAAAATTCAGAGGCTATTGTTTGCCAGGCTGAAGCAATTATTCTGAGACATGAGTCTTTCCCTTATTGTTTTTGAACCTCTCATATTTACAGTCTGGGACAGACCTGAATTTTTAGAACTATAGAAAAGCCATAATCCTCATGAATTAAAAAAAAAGATGAAATCATATCAGAGATCAACAAGCTGGAGTGAAACAGACACTGCAAATTGTGCTAATTTACTTATCAGTTCAGTTTAATTTTAAAAAACTCACAGGACATAATTGGGCAGTAGTGTTAAAATTTAAAATACATGGTGAGGATGCACTTTGTGTGAGTGTGAGAGAGAGAATATTATTGTATTTTAAAGGTTGGGTCTTTTTAATTGATTTGTTACTTGCTACTCTGAAGATCTATGGACTGGCTGTGAATGCAAGTAACTAGAGAATTTTTCCAACATGTCCTGTAATTTTATTTTGATCACTAACATTTTGTGTACTATATATATCTATATAAAATAAATATATAATATGTGGCTCTTCGCATTCTATATGCAGCTATTTTGGCTCTTCTCTAACTGGTTGGCCACCCCTGTACTAAATCACAGTGATCATAGTTGATGGCAGTGCATGAGGCATCAGGTAGTGAAGTGCCCAGATCTGGTTTAATTCTAATAATATATCTTATGGTTTTAAATCGCCCAAGAGTGGCAGGCAAGGTCAGGAGGACACATGGTGGGAATAGCACATGGACCAGCAGGAGGGGCTGAGAGACATGTGGGGGGCAAGTGCAGAGATCGTCGGAGCCCTGCCGGGGGGAAGGAGGATAACTACTAGCCCGCTAGGAGAATTTGAGGACTCGTATTGGCCCCAAGATAAATTGAATTTGAGACCCCTGGTGTATTGGCTTACGATGCAATAATTATGAAACATAATGCTATAAATATAATAGCATCCTAGAGGCTATTTCATCTAGCACAGATGGTACCTTATGCCTTATTTTAGAAAGCCAGAATGAAGAGGTAGTTTGAAGCAAGGAACGTTAAGTTGTGGTTAATTTACTAGTCGAGTAGTTGATGGAATTTCTATCGACTACTTGACTAGTCGATAGGCACTTCCTCATTCTTTCTTTGAAATGTACAAGAAGCTCCACTGCACCCCATGCAGCCTGGGGCCAGTGGGAGCTCTTGTGCATTTCAAATTGGCAGTGCAGCATGGAGCCTCCCACTGACCCCAAGCTCCATGCTGCCCTGCCGATCTGAAATGCCACACAGCCGGGGTCAGCTGGGGAGTCCCCAGTTGAACCTGGGCTATGTGCAGCATTTGAGCAGAACCCAGGATCATCTGGGGACTCCCCAACTGACTGCAGGTTCTGCACAAGATTTCCTCAGAACCTGGGGTCAGCTGGGGACTCCCCAGCTGATCCTGGGTTCCAGGAAATGCTGCTCTGGGGCATGGGATCATCTAGGGAGACCCCAACTGATGCTGGGCTCTGCACGTGGCAGCGCAACACAGCTGATCCCAGGATCAGCTGTGCGGTGCTGCTGCTTTGAAATGCTGAGGCAGCGTTCAAAGGGGCAGTGCTGCACAGCTGATCGGGGCTCAGCTGTGCGGTGCTGCTCTTTGAAGTACCCTCTGCTCTCCCCCTTTACTGTCTGTATCTGATAGAGGCAGCAGGGGGAGGGGAATTGACTAGTCGACTGACTATCTGATAAGTATTTGCTTATCATCTAGTTGACTAGTCCTTAACATCCTTAGTTTGAAGATATGACATGAGCATTTCCTCCTGATGAGAGGAGCACGTCAGTCATAAGACTTTTTTTTTCCAGCTTTCTGTCTCAGAAATGGTAGACAGGGGCAGGGTGGGAGACTGGGAATTTTTTAATCTTGTGAGTTTTACTCGTATTGTTTTTCTGTTGAATGACTGAGTGGATCAGAGCTGTTTGCTCAAAGGAGGTTTGGTAGTATCTTTTATTGGACAAACTTCTGTTGGTGGAAGTTACAAGCTTTCTAGTTCCACCGAATTCTTCAGGTTTGGACAAAGAATCAGAGTATCTGAGCTAAACTCAAGAGGGACCGATTGCTAAGCAGACGGGGCAAGACAGGGGGGAGGCAGTCATTTGAAATGAAGCGGTCAATATTGGGTTAAATTGTTATGTACAACAGACAATGAAGTGGGAAATTAAAGATCCTAAAATTAAGGTTATAAATGGTACACTGATAGGGGAGGAGGAGGGGTGAATGGTCCTTGAGCAGGAGACTTCTGAAGTGGATATTACTTTTCTGTTGTATTAGAACATTCATATGCATGGGTATTGATACTTCTCATAAGGAGAAACTGGCTGGAAAGAATTGTAACAAATGTATAGGCACCTACCAGGTAATTTTTAGCCATCAAGAGCAATGCTGATAGACTGGCTGGTGTGGAGATCTTCTATCCTCAGTTTCCCCATAAAAGCCAGTCTCAGGACCCTTTGATAGCCCACAAGAGGTATAGCAGGTGTGAGGAACCTTCTTTTGGGTCAGGGGCCACTGACCCACAGAAATATCAGTCAGGGGATGCACACAAGTGAGAAACAAATAAACAAAAAACTCACCCCTCATCAGCATGATCCCCCAATGCTGGTAGCAGCCCTGAGGGGACAGATCCAGGCAAGCCAAGTGCTGTGTCCAGTCCTCGGGTCTTAGGTTCATCATCCCTGCAGTATAGGGTGAAGCACCAGAACGCAAGACTATGGTCTGGTGTTAAACAACATATGTGTTCCTCCCTGAAAGATACTTAAAATATTCTTTTCCCAACACTTCTGAAAATAGGGTTGCCAGATGGTTTAACCAAAAATACCATACCACCCCCCACAAAAAAACTAAGGGGGGGAAAAAGGGGGGACCAAAGTTGTAGAGCAAAAAAAAGGACCCCCAACAGTTGAGCAAAAAAAATACAAAAAAAAAAAAAGCATGGCCCCTTTAAGACTTTTGGGGCTTTTTTTTTCCGGGGGCCATCTTGTTTTCTTACTCTGTGCTGTAAGAGAGCTCCCCTTCAGAACCAGGTAAGCTGGGGGGGAGGGGAGAGGGAGGAAGGGGAACTTTGGGGAGGGGGCTGAAGGGAGTCAAGGAGGGACCTGGGGGCTGAGTGTGTGTAGGGTTACCAGGTGTCTGGTATTTTCTTATATTTTTTTTTTACCAGACAGAAGGCAAAAATACCAGACTGGGTCAATACTGGACAACTGGCAACCCTAGAAAATTAAATTCAATTAAAGCAGCTGCAATAATTTAATCTTACCCAGCTTAATAACCTATGTGTGTATTCCAGTATTTCTCGTGAATTGGGTTTTTCTTATACCTTTGGTAGCTTATTTAATAGAAGATTTCTCAATAGCATTGTTGGTTTGGGGCCTAATGGGTTCCAATGCAAATAATCAAAGCTGGAAAACAAAGCTCAACAAGTCTAATTTCAGTAAGTCATCTGGAGTGGTTCACAGCCATGAGTGCTTACCTGAGGACACATTGGCATATCTGCCTTGCTTTTGACTAATTTGTGGTATATTCTATAATTAGATTTAACCAACCTAGTAACAAATGAGAACTTTTGGATCACTGTAGCAGTCTTACCATTGAGTCAGTTCCCCTGGGCTTTCTTATCTATTTTACCACCCAGGCATGCTGAACTTATTGACAAATGGTCATTTATCATATCAGAAATAGCAAAATATTCAGATTGTTCCCAGTCCCAAAGACCTTTCTCTTCTGCAGATCAATTTGTACCTTAGATTTCACACCAAAAACTATGCAAGCAGCTAAACTAAGAATTTGTTGTTAAAGAAAAAAAGAAATGGGCTATTTAAAGCTCGAACAGGCAGCATATATAAAAACAAATGAGTTCACTGTATGATTCCAAAAGGTGACAGAGATGTAGTAATCTGTCAGCAAGAAATGACTTTTTTAAGACTAACTCACCCTGAGGATCTCTGCCTAGTTCTTTCTTCGCTCCAGCCTCCCTCAAAAGTCCAAACAGCAAAGATGAAAACACGTGGTTACAAGCCTAACACCTACCCTGACCTATGCTAACAGACAGGTGAACTGGTCTGCTTTCCACCTATAAACTTGTCAGTGTTCAGCTGATGCTTACAGATTTAGCAAAAGCTGGCACCTACAGTAGTTTACCATCATCCCAATTGCCATAATGAGAGGAATGTGATAGGGTGCTAGTCTGGGATTTAAATGTGCTAGTGTGCTGGACTGGATTCATCAGAGACTTCCTGTGTGAACTTTGGCCAGTCATTTCGTATCTGTGTTTCAGTTGCCCATCTATAAATATGTCCCTGTCTCACAAAGGTGTTGTATTTATTCCCATGTTGAAGACTATAAGGAGTTCCATTGCTTCAGTAATGGGAACCATAGAAACACCTTCTGTGGATAATGACCTACCCAACTTTTTCTCTATACTGACAGGTAGAACTAGCATACATAACTCATGCTTCTACACTGTGTGATGTTACCAGAGATTTGTATACAATAGTTACCTGTAATGCTGACAAAAAACCACCTGTAAATCGCTCAGAGCTGTTTGTCTCTTCATGGTTGTCCTGCCTGCCCAGAGTACTGAGACCAGTGATTCTTTCGTTTAGTTAATGTACCTGAATGTTGAGCCAAATAGAGAATTAATACTCTGATTACTATGTAGTCTGCATCTAGTGTTCAGAGCAAAGGAGGATGTATTGGAAATGCATTGAACATATTGTATTTAAGAAATAAACCCACCAATGATAATGAATAATGGTTTTTTCTGGTTTTACAGCTTGCAGACCAGGATTCTATAAAGCATTTGCTGGAAATATCAAGTGTTCCAAGTGCCCTCCACACAGTTTAACATACATAGAAGCAACTTCCGTCTGCCAATGTGAAAAAGGTTACTTCAGAGCTGAGAAAGATCCGCCAACTATGGCATGTACCAGTAAGTCTGATTTGTACCAGTGTTTTGAAATTTCCATTATTGTCATCTTATTTATTTGCACATAATAAAAATGGCATCTCTGAATTCCAATATTGTGACCTGTGTCCCCAAAAGTAAAGTAAGGAGAATGATTTCCTCAGTCACAAATCAAACAGTGGGGTTCTCTTCAATCTTAATGCTCCTAAAATTATTGGAAAAAAGTTTCCTGACTTAAAGAACTTTTTTGGGGAGCAGTTGGTTTGTTGTTTTTCATTACACAATGTAATTTCTTCCCACAGACAAATAACAAGGTTGAAGCATGAATACCAATATTTATTTCATCTATTAAAAATGGCTTAGTATAAAAACCTTCAAATCTTCAAAACACTGAGGACACATAAAATAGAAGACAAAATTTGTTGTACTTATTCCTTTCTTTCCTGTGGCATAAATAACAATAACAATCAAACAAACATCCAAAAAGCTAGGCATAAAATCTTAACTATCCAAAAAATCCTAAAATGGAAAGGGGAAGGAAGAAGTATCCAGTCATACAAAGGAGCAGTTAAACCCTGTAGCATTGCCACTTCTTTCAAAAGACAATTAAATCTTTTTATACAGCTGTGATAATAAAAATTATTTAGCCTTTTCAAAATTTAAACAAAATCCTGTAATGTTTAAAGGAAACAAAACTGATACATGAAAACCTACAGGCAGAAATTCTGATCGCAGAAAGACATCTTTCTTTTCATTGGATCAATTTGCTCCTGTCTACAGACAATGTAAAATATAAATTTTCTTGTCAGATACTAAAATGGTTCCCTGGATTATTCAATGTTGGTTCATTATTCACCTATGTTAATTTGTTGGTCCCAAAGTAACAATATTTGAGAGCACAGAATTACTGACAGAGCGTACTATTTAGCTATAAAATATTATTACTTTATTAAATAAAGACAAGTTTGGCTTGACTTGGCAAAATTTTCTAAGAACGCAAATTCTATGTGCAATAATGCTTTATCTACATTTCATACGCCAGTAATGATCTGATTCTTTCAAACTGCGTTTGTGCTACAATCAGCTTATCAAGATAATCTGTGAATTTTCAGTACATTCAACATTAAGTGTACAAAAAGCCTACATTTTTTTAAAAAAAAGCTAACCTCACAAACAGAGCTATGTTGTAAACTTCAAACAAGTTAGCATTCAATTATTGTGAAATAGAATCAGTTTTAGTATAAACTTTAATATATTAGAGGAGAGGGAGAGATGGTTGAGTTTTGAATGTTGCATTCTGTTAGATGGTTGAGTTTTGAATGTTGCATTCTTATCAAGAAGGTAACATTTCTGGATATGGTGAGTTGCAGTCAGTCAGAGCAAGAAAATAATTAAGAGAAACATTTTGATATCTGCATATGAGAAGATCAAAGTAAAAGAGGACAAGGACAGAACTGAGAACAGAACTTCTCCAATGTTAGAGGAATATCCATTACCAGTCAGAAAAATTGGATGAATTGGATAATGGAGAATATAATAAAGGAATGTACTTGATAATCCAGCATGCTGTGCCAGATGATCAAGAAGAATATCATGCTTAACCATATTAAATGGTCACTATTCACATAAAGTTCAACATATCACTAGGCTTTAAAAAAAGATCTTTTTTTTTTAAGGGTTAAAGGCATTAATGCTTAAATTAAGTATGTGAGTCCGAACACCTCTCTAATTATACCATGCTTACATAATTTTAAACACAGCAAGCAAGGGATGTGAAAATGTAACCTCATAAATGGTTAGCCAACGAGCCTCGCTCATCGGATAACATTAACAGTTACACACAGGTTCCGGTTACGAATGGGGAGCTGACTCAAAAGCTGACTGCCCACACACACTGGTTACTAGGGAGACAGCTCCTTCCCTGCATGCAGCCGTACATCTTAACATTCCTATTGTCCATAGTTCTGTAGGATAACACCGTTTCTCTTAAAGCTTCAAAATGAAAACAAAACAAATATTTTTTTTTTATTTATAATGCCTATACTCTTATATTCCTTCTCTGACACATTTTATTATATATACAGGCAGTCCCCGGGTTACGTGGGTCTGACTTAAGTCGGACCCCTAGTTACGAATGGAAGGGGAGGGGGCCCGCTAGTGCGGGGTGCCTCCCCCACTGTAGCCGCCTCCGGCAGCACGGGGGGCACTTCCCCCAGCAGACCTGGGAGACGCAGAGCTAGCAGCCCTCCCCCCCCACCCAGCAGACCAGGAAGATGCGGAGGACCTGCCGCCCGTGTCCTCCGCGGCAAGAAAAGCCGCTCTGCGTCTCCCTGGTCTTCTGGGGGGGGGGGGCTAGCTCCGTGTCTCCCTGGTCTGCTGGGGGGAGGCACCCCCCATGCCCCCAGAGG